TAGATAATAATTTTGTTTATAGTCTGAGTCTTATTCTTGTAAAAAATTTGTAAATTGGCTCCAGCCTGTATCAACTCTCATAGTTACCCAAAACAAATTAATAATAAAGATAAAGGCAAAACCTTACCTTAATACAAAAAAAAAAAATTATTAATATTAAATATTATATAATTTGATTACTAAATTTGATTAGAAAATCTATAGTAAAAATTTTTATTAATTATACTAAGTAGGGTTCTACAATTTGATTTGATTTGATTTGATCAAATATTTGTTTCAAATCAAATTCAAATCTGAAATTTTCAAATCAAATCAAATTCAAATTTGGTCAAATTTGATTTGATTTGACAAATATTTGAAAATTTATAATTGAACTTTTAAAATTATAAGCCATTTACTCGATATTTTATTAAGATAATCAACTTTTTCGTTTTATGAAACTAGGGGTATTTTGTTTAGATGAACACTTTTACTTAAGAGCTCAAGATAGATTAACCTAGTAAAATTTTCGTAAATTAAGTTTTTTCTTTATCTATCAAAAATTTTAAATTTTTTTGAAAATCAAATATTTAAATCAAATATTTGAATTTGATTTGATTAAATCAAATCAAATCAAGGAAATATTTAATTTGATCAAATTCAAATTAAGGAAATATTTGATTTGATTTGGTTTTGAGGAACCCTAATACTAAGTTTAATTTTAATAATTAATATAAAAGAAAATATAAGAACTTGAAAAAAAATATAAAAATTTTTATTTTAATATTTATTAAAAAAAAAATTAAAAAGCATGACAACTAGAATTTTTTAAATCTAAATCAAATTGAATATTTTATTGATTTAATTTGATCAAATATTTGAATTAAATATTTAAATCTGGTTTAATTTAAGAAAAAACTCAAAATTTTATTTAGTAAAAAAAAATTTGATTTACAAAGTTTTTATTATATTAATTAATTTTGAGCTCTTAAATAAATATATTCTTCTAAACAAAATATCTCTAATTTTTTAAAATAAAAAAATAATTATTTTAATAAATATTTAAATAAATAACTTATAATTTTGAATCTTTAATTATAAATTTTTAACTCAAATCAAATATTTATTATATCAAATTAAATTTAACCATACTTAAATTTGATTTAATTTAAAAATTTCAGATTTGAATTTGATTTGAACTCAAATATTTGAAATCAAATCAAATCAAATTGTGGAACCTTAATAATAATATAATAAAATAATTATATTATTATTTATCAAATGACAGATTTAGAGTTTAAATCTTAGTATTAATAAAAATTTAAAAAATTTTCCTATAGTTAATTGTCTTTTGTTATTGGTTAAAATAAAATACTTATTATTTGTATTATATTAACATTACTAAAAGATCATATAGTATTTGTATAATATAATGCTATTGTATAAAAAAATACAAACTGGTATCAAATAGTATAAATCTATAATAAATACTTGTAATTATATAAATTACAGAATCTAAAAAGACAAAAACCCATTTAGAAAACCTAAATAGAAATGTAATTCAAACTTTTAATAATGTTATTGTAAAAACTAAATCTAAAAAATAGAACTAAAATTTGTAAAACTAGATAAAATATTAGTTTTTATAAAGAGATTATTATAACCAACTAGATTACTAGAACTCTCTAGAAAAAAAGACTACATACCAAAAAATATATAAACCAAAAATATAATTATACTTATTTTTCTAAGCTATTTGAATTAGAAAATTGATAAAACTTGAATTAAATATCAAAATAATAAAGATATATTATAAAGTAAGTACTGAGGTTTGAGTAAACTTTTCAAGAACATAATAGTTTAATGATTAAATCTTATTGTAAATGTTGATCACAGCAATAATATTATCAAATCAGTTGTAAGAATAAGATACAAAAGAATTTGTAAGGTTTAGTATAAAATCAACAATTTCCAAATAAATAAACTAGTTTAAAGACTTAATAATAATAATATATTTGTATTAGTATTAGTTACTAGATGTATATAGGTGGGTAAATACAAGAACTAAAATGTTTAAATAGAGAACTTACAAGTAGGTTCTAGGTATGACAACTAATATAAAACTTTCAGACAGACTACTTATATTAAACAATGACTAAAATTGTACAAGTGACTAATTGTATATTCTTTCTATAATTGCTTTCTGTAATTGTTATGCAACCATTAGTTGAATATACTATCAATAAAATCCTAAGTCACAAGTAATCATTTTAATATTTAAAAAAAAAAATTATTTAACCAGAATCTGATGTATGTTTGAAGTGAAATGAAATTTTGAATTTATAATGTGTAAAGTTATTTTATCAAACTAAATAACATACTATTGCTTTTAATTTTGTTTTGCATAATGTTATAGTAACTGGTTCTTATGCTAAAAATGCATTTATATTAGATTCTTGGTGTATAATCTCTAAAATTATCTACTATTAAACTGAGTTATACTAATAAGTATAACAATATTTAAAACCAATTCACTCCAAGTCAAAGGATGGCGGACGTAAAAAGAAGTATAAAAGGCAAAATTATAAGGAAAGTTCGTCTAAACCTCTGAAAGTTTTTAAAGTGATGAAAACATCTGATCAAATTCAGACATGATTGTGGATTCGGAGGATCAATTTATATCTAAACATACAAACTCAAATAAGAAAATTGATATAGAAGTTATTGAAATCGATGATGAAGAAACAATTCAATCAAATTTGCAAAATTTGAAGATCAAAGACAATGAAATTAATGAAAATTCAAAAAAATGTAATTTCAAATAAAGAAACCACCAATAAAATTGAAATTGAAGCTACTAAAGCTATTGCAGAATTTGATGCGGGAAATTTAAAGAGATTGAAAGGGAAATCCAAAATCTCTTAGTTAATTTTTATTACATATCATTTTACTATCTTATTTTTGTCCTTTATTTTAAAAATAGTTTTATTTTTCTAATGTCGTACATCTGATAACGTTAAAAATTCATGCTTTTATGATTTACCCTATGTTAAAAGTTAATCTTTTAAGAATACTTCACTCCTAAATACGTTATCTGTTTCAATAATAAAAATCAAGAATTTCAATAAACGAATCTTGAACATTTGCACAAGTTCGATATAATAGATCAAGAAAAAGCTTTTTACTGGTCAATCACGATGGTGTATCCAATATTGTTATTGTAAACTATGCCTTTATAAAAAAAGAAGTACTTAAAAATGATTAAAAAAAATCACAGACACGCCTTAAAGCTGACCACAAGTTCAAAGAAACTATAATATAGTAATTTCCATAAGGTCGGCAACTTAAGGGAAAATGCCCATTGAATATTTATCTTATACACTATAATATAATAACGGAAAAATGTTAGGCTTTTTTACAAATTTGAAAAACTTCGTACTCATCTATAGGAAACCAACCCTCTTTACTACTGAGTTGCTTGTCATATGCAGAATTAACTTTGTAATGCCATTTTTTATGACCTGCATAATCTCCCATTCCAAAATCATAAGCAAAAAATGGACCGTGTTGATTATCACCGTAATAAATTGCTTTCGATGTATCGATTACACGACTTAGAATCGATTGATTTATGTTTCGATTTTTTAAAGAAAAAATAAAGCTATCATTAGTTTGATTTATTCCACCATTAACTTTCCAGATGAGAGGATTGTAACCACCAAGTATCTCATCAGTACCAGTAACCTTTAAAACAATCACAGTACCAGGTATATTATCACATAGCCTATGAAAAACTTCAGCCGTAAATCCATCCTTACTACCTCTAAGTAAAAGTTTAAATTCATATTGAATTTCAGTAGTATCATAAACTGTTGAACATCGATCAATCCACGATGAGATCTCTGCTGCATGCTGTAACGTGATTATGGAAGAAGATAATGTGATGATAGGTTTTTTTCGAGGAGGTAAAATTAGAGATTTGATGGGAGCATCTGGATCCATAAATTTTGTCACTATGTCATCCCATAAGTCCTCTTCAAGAATATTACGATAAGGTTTAATTTTACTTGAGGCATCTTTACCAGGAATATGAAAGTATCTAATATGAGGAAGACAATGTTGAAGGGTAGTTTTTAAAGACTTAAAATTTTCATTAGACCATTCTTTAATGTTAGGTGGTAAATTTGGAGTCTTCGATTTTCCCCATAAAATCATTTTATCCCAAATTTCAGACTCCTCCATCTGTAAATTATCATTCCTTAAAAGAGCAATTAAAGCATTCTCATGGATAGTAGTAAAATCATCAGAATCAAAAATCAAGCTTGGATGTTTTGTAAGTATATTATTGCAAAATTGTTGTAAAGGTCCAAAATTTTCATTAATAAAGCTAATTTGATGAACACGATAAAAATTTAAACGAAGCCAAGATGCATTATTATCAATAAGGTGAGATTGAAGGTATTCAGCTAATTTTATAAGCTTAAGTTCATCAGCAACAATTAATAAATCGAATATGGTAGAAATTTCAAGATTTTCTAAAGAAACTACACCTCCATAAATATATCTACCGATTAAAAATAATAAATTAATGTTTTATAATAAATATATATTTATAATTATAGTATTATGATATAACTTACTTAATAATAATATTGAATAATTTAACAGAAACATGAGGCAATTTAATTTCAATAATATTATTTTTCTTAATCGCATTTACAAATTTTTGACGAAAGTATAATGATCTTTGATATAAGATTACTGAATGTGCTTTAAAAAGTTGTATATTTGGTTGTTCTCCAACTTCAATTATTACATTATAATCATATTCACTTTCTAAGAGTTGTGTAAAGTCTTGAGAAAGATGTTCAAATAATTTTAAGGTCATTTTTTATGATTCGGGATACTGGTGCAGATTTCCATTTATATCAAAGTCTGCGTCGCACAAGGGACTACGCACGTATTACGTCTGAAAGGTATCATGTGATAACTAACAGTGCAGTTATTATTCTATTGTATATTGGATAATATAATTAGTAGTTATAATAGCTAATAGCCATTATGTTAAAATATAAATAGCCTAAAGTCAAATTAGTTATTCTGAGTTTATAAAAGGTAGTTCAAGTGTAACAGTATGTACGTTCATTATAAAAGTGTAAGATTGTTTGGGTCGATTCTTCAAATTCAAAATGTCAAATTTTCTATTATAATTTTAATTGTCTTTGAATCGTTTATTGCCATTTATCATCATTTTTTATCGTACTTAAATTCTCTGAACATTATGGCACGTTTGTCAAATTTAAGGGCCCAAATTTATTGATTAAACACTAAAAAAATCTTTTTCACTCCAATTTATTAAACCGATTTTAAGTTTATCGTTTACATATATGTACATATATGTACAAACATAAAATTTAATGATTGTTAGTAACATTGTCAATTACATAGTACAGTACGTATATCATAGTTATAGTAACGTTGCATACCAAGCATAACCACCCAAATCAGTTACGTGGAGTTTAAATATATATAATTTAATGTAATAAAAATTTCCATTATAATGCTGAGTATAAATTGTATTTTTACGGAAATGATTTGGGCGGTTATTGCTTGTGGGATTTTAAATGACCCACAATCGGTAGTCAACATATCAAATTTGAGGTATTTTACAAACGCGTCGTAATGATATTTTATATAAATTTGATTCTTTGGTGCAATTTTAATAAGATTGATCAAGGAAAAATGTTTTACTGGCGATCATAATGGTATATCCGGCGTTGTTAAAGTGAGTTTTGATAAAAGAAGCATTCAAAAATGATTAGAAAGATCACCTAAAAAAGTATATACAGTCAATTGTATCATTTAAGTCAAATTACAATCAAAGCTAAATAAGTAACTGCGTAAAGAATGTACAAGAGGTATGAAAAAGAATGATGGTGGATTAAAATATCAATTTATGAAATAAATTTATGACAAGGACTATATCCTCAAATCATTAAAAGGGATTTGATTCTAACTAGGAAAAAGGGATCCGTTAGGTTCTGGAGCGCCGCTTCGTATTATGCAAAAAAACTTTTAAAGTCACATTTGGAACTGTTAATTTGAAGAATGCAAATATATAGCTTTTACACATTTATCTAAATGTCCAATGAAATCATAAAAATTTTAACTTTTGTAAAATCAGTTGTTAGAGGTGACTTAGTGCTGTGGGTTAATGTGATGTAATATTAGTATGATGTAATTGGTCGAGTCAATTAACATCTCTACTTGAGCTTCTAATATATTATATTCTCTTGATCTAAATTCCAACTACATAGTGTATAATGGCTTAATACATAAAAATTTGACTTATTCATTAATAATCATGTTATTGTTGCGATACTGGTTAATTCTTTTTTTTTTTATCATTACCAAAGCAACAAAATACATAATACTGAATGCCGTTGAATTATTTGAATTGCTGATGAAATTTTATTTTTTAAAAATTATAGAAATATAAAGTTAATTATGTAATAAATTATAGAAATATAAAGTTGATTATGTAATAAATTGTATATATCAATTTGAAAAAATAATGTTATACCTGCTAAATATGTTAAATATGATATATACTGCTGAAAGTTAACTGATGAATGATTAAAATTTTCCATCTAATTATGCACTCCGAGCTGGAGTCCACCACCCTCATGGAATTTTTCTTACCTATTGACTGGGCTTAAGTTCCTCCACTCTGCTCCGGAAATTATCTACACAACTATATTTCCAATTAACTCTTAACACACCTTATAACAATAGTCAGGATTTAAACGGCATCCAACAATGGCGATTAAAAGTTAAAACTGACAATAATACAGTAATTTCCATTATATAAATTGTTAATGAATCCCTTCTATATATTAAAATTAAGCTCAACCCTTTCTTTCAAAGAGTTTTAACTGCAGTATGAAATATTTAAAAAACAGCACATTAGTAACTTAATAAAAAATGTCCGTTGCATATTTTGTAACTAAATATATATTCCATCTTATTCCATCTTACACACTATGAAATGCTAAGTGTTTTTTTTTTACAAATTTGAAAGACTTCGTACTCATCTATAGAAAACGATCCTGATTTACTTCTAATTTTATCATATGCAACACTCCCACCGCAATACCATTGTTGAGCTTGATAATCATATATTCCGAATTCACGAGCACCAAACCATGGACGACTTTTGTCATCATTATAAATTGCTCTTGATGTATCGTTTACACGTCTAAGAATCGATTGATTTATGTTTCCATTTTTTAAAGAGAAAATAAAACTGTCAGCAGTTTTATCGGATCCACCACCAACTTTCCAGATAAGAGGATTGTAACCACCAAGTATCTCATCTGTACCAGTGACTTTTAAAACAACCACAGTACCAGGTATATTGTGACATAGCCTGCAAAATGATTCACACGTAAATCCATCCCTACTACCTCTAAGTAAAAGTTTAAATTCATATGGAATTTTAATAATACTATAAACTGTAGAACATCGATCAATCCAAGATGAAATCTCTGCTGCATGTTGTAATGTAATTATATCAGAAGAAGATAGTGTAGCAATAGCTACTTTTCGAGAATGACCTTCTAAAGAAGGATAAGGAACAAATATTGGATTTTTCGGAACATCTATAGGATCTTTTTCTGTTTCTTTTTTGCGAAAAGGGAGCTGTATAGTTTCCTTTTTGTGAGAAGGGAGTTGTATAGTTTCTTTTTTGTCAGAAGGAAGTTGTACAGCTTCTTTTTTGTGAGAAGGAAGTTGTACAGTTTCTTTTTTGTGAGAAGGGAGTTGTATAATTTCTTTTTTGCGAGGAGGTAAAATTAGAGAAGTGATGGGTGTATCTGAATCCACAAACTTTGCCATTATGTCATCCCACAAGTCCTCTTCAAGTATATGACGATAAGGTTTAATTTTATTCAATACATCTTTACCAAGAATATGAAAGTATCTAATATGAGTAAGACAATGTTGAAGAGTAGCTTTTAAAGATTTAAAATTTTCATTAGTCCATCCTTTAATGTTAGATGGTAAATTTGGTGTATTCGCTTTTCCCCATAGAATTATTTTATCCCAAATTTCTGACTCTTCCATCTGTAAATTATCATTCCTTAAAAGAGAAATTAAAGCATTCTCTTGGAGAGTAGTGAAATCATCAGAATCAAAAACCATACTTGGATTTTTTACAAGTATGTCATTACAAAATTGTTGTAAAGGTTCAAAACTTTCATTAATAAAGCTAATTTGATAAACACGAAAAACATTTAAACGAAGCCAAGATGCATTATTATCAATAAGGTGAGACTGAAGGCATTCAACTAATTTTATAAGCTTAAGTTCATTGGAAATGACCATTAAATCAAATATGTCCGAAGCTTCAAAATTTTCTAAAGAAATTGCACCTCCATAAATATATCTATCGGTAAAAAAAATATTGATTAATGCTTTATAATAAATATATATTTGATATATAGTATTATGATATAACTTACTTAATAATAATATTGAATAATTTAACAGAAACATGAGGTAATTTAATTTCAACAATATTATCTTCTTTAACCGCATTTACAAAATTTTGGCGAAAGTATAATGAACGTTGGTATAAGATTACTGAATGTGCTTTAAAAAATTGAACATTTGGTTGTTGCCCAACTTCAATTATTACATTATAATCATATTCGCTTTCTAAGAGTTGTATAAAGTCTTGAGAAAGCTGTTCAAATAACTTTAAGATCATCTTTTATGATTCGGAATACTGGTGCAGATCTATATTTATGCTAAACCAAGTTTTCGTCGTACAAACGATTATCTAATGTTAACGGCAAAACTTGCACCCCCAGGCTACAAGGAATAAACGAAAAGTGAAGCCCCGAATCGACGCTGCTAAGCCCCCATAACAATTACCGTTGACAGACCAAAAATGGTAAAGCGATCTGCACTTACCCGATTGACAAGGATGAAGGCTAAAATGATTCAATGGGTTAATATTGCCAAGTCGGGGTCCGCATGATTTTTCGCAGCTGTGGAACGACGTTGGAAGCGTTTTAACG